TAATGACTTTAGATAAGATAAATTTTTGGCAGATAATTCCATTTTAGTATTATTTTCACTTTCAGTTTCACATGCATTATTTTCTGATGGTAGCATAGGTGGCATAGTAATATGAGGAATAACGCTTTTACATAAACAAGTTATAAAAGCATCACGAGGAGTTGAAAGATGAAGAAAGCCACAAACAATAGTGAAATTTTGATAAGCGCGTAAAACATTATGAAATAAATCTTCATCAAGGTTTGTAGAAAGGAAAAATGAAAGTGCAGCAAGCAATCCAGGCCATGAAGTATTTGCCATATCAGCCACAAGGATTTGAGATTTAGATTGTAAAGTTGATTTCTTTTGATATTGAATAACATTTGTAAGATTTTTTATTACAAAATCGTGAAGGCCATCCACAATTGAATTTAGACATAAAAGAGTCAAATAATAAAGATAAGTTTCTGGAATTTGTGGTGGATCTGATTTGTCCATCTGGTCAATGCTTTATATTCAAATAAAAATACTAAGCAATTAGATACGTATGATTTTTAAATTAAAAAATAAGAGTATAAATACAAATAAAAAAAGTTTTTTAATAGTACATACCATCTAATTTTCATTACTGAGGATGCAATACTCAGGCCACCACCAATGTTTGTTAGTCCGTCATCTTCTATTGACTGACATGAATTTCCATTTAGTGAATTACCACTTTTACCTAATGTTTGTGGTTTCTCAGTTGCTAATCTACCAAAAGCACTAATCATTTCCTTATATACATTTGTAGAATGATTTTGTTTATCATAAGAATAATAAACAGTACGTAAAAGAGCACCATCCATACAAATTCCATGAAATATCTCCATTGAAATAACTCTTTGCCATAATGGACAACTTGGTTCAAGAAATTTTATAAACATATTAAAATATATTTCACATTCTATCACCTAATATATATCGAATAGCATAATTAATAATAAAAATTAATAATAAAAATACATTAACAAATGACGTAAAATATAGTTACCAAAATTTCATTAAATTTTTTCAATAGAATATAAACAATTCGTAACATTCTCATAGTAGTTGGAAAGTCATATTTGATAGTTAAATTCTTTAACATAAGGGGACAAATATGTTCTCTTAGTAAAAATGTAAATTCCGGATACTATATAAAAGAAATAAAGGTTTATAATTTTTAATATATATGTATATAATTCAATGTATGTATATATAATAACTATGGATACAGTAAACACAAAATATTAAAATGCGAACCAATTCGAATAGTTTGAAATGATTCGACAATATTGATTCTATCAATTCCCAACAAAGAGTTTTTGATACACTATTTAATTTGAGAAGTATAGGTTGTTCTCCATTGGATAATAAACATAAATCCTGAAAAAGATAATAAGCATCTCTCGCATATCGACGAAGAGACAAAACATTCACATTTAAGCTTAATCTTGCATTCGAACTGGGATTTATTGCAACTTTAAGTGATGAAAATAAAATGATTAAAAAATACTTAATAAGTAGTCAATCGTATGATACAGTATAATGGTATATATAAAATAAATTGTAACCTTTGTCATTTATTTCGTCTTCTAAAAGAATTTTTTCAAAAATGTTGATTACCAATTGACGCAATGTAGCAGCAGCAGTGTTACTGACTACAACAGCTTTTGAGTCTTGAATACGAAAACATATTAATAACGCCTGAACACATATTGATATTTATCATTAGTATATATAATGATGGGACGAGTATTAATCATGTAAAAAGACAAGATATTATACGTCAATAAGAAGATCGCCTTGTAATGATTGATAATTATTTATCAAAGGTGGGATAGTCTGTAAAATTTTGAGTTGAACTTCAACACCTTGAAATACCAAGTCATTAAGGATTTTTATTATAGTTTTAATGGAAAACTAATAAATATAGTTATATTAGATTAAAGATATATATTGTTCCAAGATACACTATTACAGTATTAAATATGAATGGTCCTACCTCAGGAACAGCACGATGTGAGATCAATTTATGTAAACAGCCTACGGATATAATTATTAATTTAAGATTCTTTATCTCACAAGCAAGAGTAAATGGAAGTAAAAAATCGGTGTGCTTCGAAAGTTCTATGAAATTATAGGTTTTTAATTTTTTGTTAAAAAAACATGAACGAACTTGAAAAATCCAAAATGAGAATCCAAAATGAATTGTGACTGAAATTTTCACCTTTAGAAACATTGATATCAGGTTGTTCTATTAGAGATCTTACGATGATAATCGATTTTTCTGCGGCCTTTTGAATTATCAAGAATTGACAAATTGGTCATCTATTATGATAACATTTTAATCGTGAGGTCTTTTTAACTTACCTCTTTGATCTCAGAATGCCTACGTTTTGTTTCATCCACAATTTGTAAAAGTTCTGTAAGAAGAAATGTAGAAAGACTGTTCATCTTGACTGTATGTATCACGAAGATTTTTTTTATTGTTATCTCGAACAAGTTCAAATTTCATGAAAGGTAAGGATACTTTGATTTTAGTTATATTGGTGGCTGTAACAATAAGAACGTGTTCAAAATTATTTTGCAGGTACACAGCCGATGTCTAAGCCACATATTTTTGACGACTTGTCAAAAAACTGCAGGTTTTAAAATCCCTAGTAATTGTCCGGAGGACATTTAATAAGTTAGACTGTTTTCAGAGAATTGTTAAAATAAACACGTGAATAACAGCTATTATTCAAAAAGTCTTTAACATGAAACGATTTGGATCTTTGGCAACCCTGATAGTAAATTGTTATGGAATAAAATCTAAATTATTATTGTTCGTCATGGAACCTATTCCTTCTATTTGAACGAGCGGGCTTCGTGGCTAACAATACATCTGTGCCTAAACGACGTAATACTGTACAGTATGGGTGTGGATGAGCACTTTTTGGGTGTGTAGTGATGAGTTATACTTTTGGTTCTACTTTAACTTCCTTTATTACCTTTCTCTACCTGCATCTTCACTACACATCCTTATTAAATCCCATTCTCTCTTTCAAACTCTTCATTTCATTCGGCGTTTTTCGGGTGTTATGGGAGCAGTGTTGTTAAATTACCTAAAAATAGTCGTAAATGACTTTTTTTTTTTTTTAATCTTCAAAGGTGTCGTAAATGACTTTTAAATGACCTGAAATGACTTTTTATATATGAAATTTAATAATAAATTTCAAATGACTCAAATGACCTAACAAAAGTCATGACCATGCAAATTTAACAACACTGATGGGGGTGCCGGACATGAATGCGAGCAGCGAAAAACAAGGACAGAGAAACCCCAGGATAATTAAATTGCTTAAAAATTTTTACAAATCGATTTTTACATCATTATGCATACAAATCTTGATTAACATGCCTTAACATGCAAGCAATAAACGCATGAGAGATTCTTTCTCATGGTCCAGTGACTCACAATAGTGTATCTTCGTTCACAGGCGAGACATTGACATTGCGTTATAACAAAATTTATCAATACTTCTAAAAATATTTTATAAGTATATATTTTTTAAAAAAAAAAAAACCTGAAACGCTATAGCCGAAATTGAATATAAAATATAACAGATAAATTTTTGCGGTCCGTTCATCCAGAGTTCATTACTAAGAGACTTTATATGCATATAGAAATTTAACTATTACATATTTTTTTTAATGGCACTCATATTTTCCATATTAGCATTATTCAATTATGTAGAAAAAGTAAATGAAAAAAAACGGAACATTAGTACACTTCATCTAATCTGTATAGATAACTATACTTTTCATTTAATCCAAAAATATCTTTTTTTTTTTCAAGATATCATTATTTTGCAGTTTTTTATAATTCGATATCGACAAGTATAAATTGTTATAACATGTATCTAATATAGCCTATTTAGCAACTAAAAGTAAATTACAGTTTGGAATGTAATATGGGGTCTTTGCCTTGAAAATGACCTTACGGTACATGATACCGTAAGGTCATTTTCAAGGCAAAGACCCCATAT